GCCCCGCACGTGCAGTGGACACACACTCACACAACAACTGATCGCTGTCTCTCAACCGGCGCTCGCGCTCGCGGCAGAGTGTGTGGCGGCGCGACGCTCGCCGACAGCCGCTTCAGCTCCGGCGGCAGGGTCCCGCTCAGGGCCTCGTTGCCTGCAGACAAGAAGAAAGAGAGGCTGCGCGCGCGTGCGCCCCTCCCCCTCCGGGAAGGGTTTGGGAGAGCGCGGCGCTGCCGTCCGCGTCGATGGCGATGAGGCGCGAGAGCGAGGCGAGCGAGCGCGGCAGCGTGCCTGATACGGTGCGGTGGAGCAGGACTCGGGGAGATATGGGGAGATATGGGGAGGTGATGCGGTGGACGAGGGCTCCCCGCGCGCTGAACATGCCGCGGGAGGCGCGCAGAGGCGCGGCCTTTGTTAGTGTACTGCGCTATATATTGGCGAGGAGTCTTGGCGAGTGTGGGATTGTGGTGATGAAACTTGGCGCCGCGGGCCTTCGAGCCGGTTGCCTTGCAGGTTGAGTCCGATCACCTCGCCGCCGCCGCTCGCCGCCACCTGCTCGCCACAAAGCAAAGGCCATGTGCACGGCGGAGTGGGCCACAGTGCTGTGTGCTGTGCCGCCGCCCCCCCTCCCACACCTCTTTCGAGCACGTCACGCCCCACCAGCGGCACACGTCGCCTCCCGTTGTCCAGTTGGTCGCGTACCGCCTGGAGAGATATGCATAGAGTGCGCGTGTGGGCGGTGAGGAGGAGGAGGAGAATGCTCTCTCTCTGCCATGGGCTGCTCCAAGTCCGGGGGGCGAGGAGGAGGAGGAGAATGCTCTCTCTCTGCCATGGGCTGCTCCAAGTCCGGGGGGCGAGGAGGAGGAGGAGGAGAATGCTCTCTCTCTGCCATGGGCTGCTCCAAGTCCGGGGGGCGGGGGGTCGCGGCGCGCCATTTGCCGTCTGCGCCGCCCGCCGAGGCGTACAGCTCCTCTAGCGCCTGTGTGGCGAGTGCATACGGCTCGCGAGGTCTCGGGGAGACTTGGGGTGCGCGTGTAGATGCTGGGGTACCGCAAAGATGAAGGTGCATGTGGTTCGGCGGGTCGAATGGCTTGGCAGTGTGTGGAGGAGCAGAGAGACCTCGCTCGCGTGCGCCAGTACGAGAGGGGTCGCCTCGAGGCTGATTCCGTGCGCGCGCACGCGAGGCAAAGTGCGAGCGAGGGGGAGTGCTGGCCCGTGTACTTGCCACCTCTCGGCCACCTCTCGGGGCGACATCTCGGGGCGACATCTCGGCGAATCTCGGCGAATCTCGGCGATCCCCTCGCCTGCCGCGGGCTGAGCGACCAAAAGGGCGGAGGGGGCGGAGGGGGCGGAGAGGACGGCGGGGGCGGCGACGCAGCCGGGTAGACAGCTGTCGGAGGCCTATTATTCTTCGTTTTATGGTTAATGATATAGTTAACCATTGATTGATGGCGGAGTGGCGGCTGTCGGAGGCCACGGCGGGTATAGCGCCGCAGCATGCTGGAAGATGTCGAGCCACGACATGCACACCTTTG